CCTCCTCCCCTGTTCCACTTCCTGCTCCTCTTCCTCCTCCCCCTGCTCCTCCTCCTCCCTTGCTCCTCCCACTCCTCCTCCTTCCCCTATATGACTCAGTTGCCTCTGGTTATCACACCTGGATACTGGATCTGATCCCCACTTCCCTGTGCAAGCCCCCTTGCCACCTCCAGTCCACACATCCCTCACAGCAGTTGCCTCCTCGGTTTTATCCTTTCCATCTAGGTTGTTCACTTTTACACCACTTACATTTTTCCTCTCTGAAATGAATATAAGCTTCATGAAGGCAGCAACCTTTTTGTGTTGCTTTTATTCCTAAAATCTCCACGGTGACTGGCAAGTAGTTAAATAGGGAGGGAGCGATGGAAGGAAGGAAAGGAAAGAACGAATGAAAGAAGGAACGAACGAATGAATGTCAGTTGATCAGTCATTGATGAGGGTCATGTTGGAAACATCCCCAGAATTGGCATGTGAGAAACATCAAAAGAATTCCAAGGTCACTGAGAGAACACACCCAGTTCCCTGTCATTTAAAAAACAGGGTCTCTTTGGCCACACTCCGAAAGCTCAGCCTCTGAGTACCCCATTAAGTATGTCTGTTACTACTGTTAGGAGGGGCCTTTACCCCAGAAAGGGATGAAAAGGATAAAAAATATCTTCTACTGTTGTCTCAGGCCAATGTTTGCAGAACACTATTAGGCAGCTCCTAGCTAGACCTCGTGACCCGAATACACACACACACACACACACACACACATTGTATATATGTACACACATATATATCACAGCATACACACATACACATTTTACATATGTATACACAAACATCTCACAGCATGATACAACAGATATTCCTACTTTTTTCCTGTTTGATTCTATTCTGTCCCTTTAAAACAATCCCAGTTGTGACCCAGTACATTGGTTTCATGACCTGTTAAGGCATCTTGGCTTACAGTTTGAAAAAAAAAAAAGTTTAAAACATGGTGCTCTGGGACTGGAGAGCTGGCCCAGCTGTTCAGAGAATGAAGAAGCAGGGTCACATCCTTAGCAAGCATATAAAGTGACAGGCTTGTGCCTGTGCCCACCAGTGAACCCGGCTCTCTGACTGTGAGGAAGGCGGACTCCTGGGCTTGCTGACCAACTGCCAGCCTTGGCAGTCTGTCCTAGGGTAACGAGGCAGAGAGTAATGGAGCAGGAGACCCTTCTGTCCCCTCGTCAAAGTATATATACCTTTATCTTCCCTCCCTCCCTCCCTCCATCCCTCCCTCCCCCCCTTTCATATTATGCCTTTCCTCAGCAATTCTCTATCTAGCAAAGGAATTTGAACCTGCAAAGATAGATCTCAGGCTGACTGCTGAGTGTGTTTTGCAGAGCTGTGGGATGTGTGGTGAGAATGAGCCTGTGGAGAAGGCTCCCTCCACCCATACCTGTCCAGAAGTTTGGGGGAGAACAGACCTGTTCCTGGTAAATTTCATTTTGCGTCACCCCCCCAATTCTTCTTCTCTTGTATGTTGATTTATTATAATCAATGGAGTTGTCAGTGACTCCTCAGGCACTTTTTAATTAAAAAGATATAAAAACTTGATCTCATTTTTCATTAATTTTTCTCTGTTGTTTGTACATTAGTTTTCTCTGGTGAGTATGGTGTGTGTGTGTGTGTGTGTGTGTGTGTGTGTACACAATCATATAATACATACATGTGTATATATAATGAAGATGAACCTCTAAGTGATATGGTTTATTGTTTTGAATTCCTTAACATTTAATGGTGCATGACCCTCACAGTTATTTCCATTAGAAAGGTCTGCATTTTTATCATCTTCAGACGACACACAGAAATTTCCATAAATGCTCTGACTGATTACACAACCATAATCAAATCACACCCCCTTCAGTGTGAGGCATTCAGTATAATTTTTCCCGGCCTTTGAAACTTGAGTGCACTATCCCCTGTACATTTCCATTCCAGAAGTTTTTAACTAAACCACATGAAACCAAAGAGAAGACTTGGAAATGAGGTGTGCTCCCGCTGCCCCAAACCCCAAGGTCTGTGCTGATGCTTTTCCCTAAAACCATCAGAGGCCTTGACAAGCATAAGCATTGCTTGCAATTCTTCTTTAGAATGGCTGTAGTTCTCAGTGTAAGATAGGTTGCATTTTAGTGTATCTTACTATCTTTCAATCAGTGCCTGTTTGGTCAGAAAAACAGTGACATAATCCCCCAAACGTAAAAGTACTAACCATCCCAGACCTCAGCAGAGTCCAAAGGAGTCCTTGGGATTTCTTAGGAGCCAAGGCCTGTGATTGTTAATGAGTAAATACAAGTACACGAATTGCCTAAATCTGGAAATGTTAGTTTGGTGATCACGATCCTTTTTACAAAAGGAAGGTTCTAGAAGCTGGTGGTTGTCGGTGGCGTTGGCTTCCTGAATAAAGAAGTTACAGTGGCCAGAGCTTGGTGGATGTGGTGCCCAGGAGGTAGACAGAGTGGTGAAAGGGGTTAGAACACAGAATCTTACCAACATACTATTCAGCCAAGACCATAGCACATGTGAGGGAGGAGGTAGCTATTTTAAACCCTTCAGTTTTCAAGAACCCCAACCATGCCACTGTTGAACTAAAAAAAAAAAAAAAAATGAGATTTAATGTAAGGGAACATGTCTAGTCTAGTCAGGCATGTTCTCTTTGTTAAGATCTCTTCATTACCTTAACCTGTCACTTACTTCTCGGGTACCTGCAGGCATGGCCACTGTGTTAGGATTTTATATCATACTGTCCCTGAGTTTGCCTGTCTCTCATCAGTGAGGGAGCTAGACTTTTACTGGCACCATGGTTGTTCATGGCCACACAGGAATGGTTTATGTGGCTGCAGACTGCCCAGACTGGTTTTCTCAGCCTTCCTCTCAGGAGCTGGATCACTTACTGGGGAATTGTTCTGCACAGATCTGGGGTTTATTCCATCTAATCTTTAAATAGTATCACAGCATCGTAAACAGGATACTTGAGCTGGGATTGGGAGAACCACATTCCTGGCTTATACTTGCTTACCCCAGAAGGCTGACTGGGCCCTGATTGCTTTGTTGTGGGTGTTTTCAGGTGAAAGATTAAACTGCTCTGCCTTGAAAGCCATCTTGATGAAAACAAGGGCCCTTAGGCTCCTGCTGCTGGGACCATCTCCTTGCAGAAGTGTTTCTGTTGTATGTTGCTTATGGCCTTCCCTGTAGCTATGCTGGTCCCTTGGCCAAGGGGCTCAACTGGGAGGGTCAGGCCAGTCTTCCCACCACTGAAGAACTAGCTTGCTTTGGTGGCTTCTTTTACTTCAGTAGGGTTTGATAACTCCCCACACCTGCCCACTTCTCACCTTGTGGCTCTCTTTAAGGTACACCAGGCCACTTTTTCCATAGGAAGAGATGGAGGATTCAGGGCCTGCTCTACTTGGGGAGGAGGGGGGGGGGGGGGGGGGGGAGCCCTTCGAACTATGCCAGACTTAAAAATGTGAGCATGGAAAAAGAAAGGCTGTGTAAATTGACTACTTTCAGGCCTTTAATTGATCCAAATGATTAAACCCTGTGAGTGCTGTGTGTGTGTGTGTGTGTGTGTGTGTGTGTGTGTGTGTGTGTGTGTGTGTAGCATAAATGCTCTGGGACTGGGTGCCTGGGGTGGTTCCTATGGCTTTTGACCATGGCTTAGTAGGATCCTCCTGTCCCCAGTACACCAGAAACAGTTCATTCTAATTGTACTGCTGGTCCTGAGACTTGAGAATTGTTTTAACATGTGGCATGAATTCGTAAGTTTTGTAAGAGAGCTATTTGGTGAATACAGAGTTAAAAAAAAAATCTTCAAAGAGTTTTGGAATGGCTTAGCTTTAGTGGTCCTTTGGTAGGATTTTCTTGTACTTGGCTCCCTGTGTTAGTTAAAAGGTTTTCTTGTTGGTTTTTCTAAACCTTGGAAGACACCACCAGGCTTCCTGGAGAACAGTTGTGGAGGAGAATGAGGGAAACTGCTAGGGGTGCGTGGGTTGGGTGAGTGTGGAACTAGGTAATTTAGCTTCTTTTCTTTCCAAATCAGTAAATATTTACAAATGACCTTATCAAATGGTTTGGCTACACTGGCCCACGTGAAAGCAGGGCAGTGAAAGCTGCTGTTCCGGTACCATTTAGGGCCCACCCCCACCCATTTTAAAGCAATATGCAAATCTTCGACCAGTAGCCTCCAGCCAGCCCAAAGTGGCCTTCAGGGGAAGTCCCCCTCCCCAGGGGACAGTTTTAGCCAATTTACACTTTTTAAAGTGTGACCTCTTCTAAAGATTTCTATGGGACTGTCACAGATTGCTGTGAACTGAAACCCTCTTTCCCCCCAAATTAAAAAAAAAACAAAAAAACAAAACAAAAAAAAAAACATCCGATTCTGGCTTAGGTTTGCTATTGTTGCCTAAGTCTTTTGTTTCTTGGAGGAAGGCAATTATAAATTCCATTCCAAGCATAAATGTTCTTTTGTGAGCAAGTTTGGGGGGGGGGCAAAAACAATGAGTGGATTACTTTTCCATTTCTGTAAGATCAGGCCAGTGTAATGTGGTTTAAAACAGCTGGGATTTTTAGAGCAGAAATGGAGCGTTGAAGTTGTCTCAGTACTATTAGCATGAATGCCAGCCAAATTATAGATTTTTGGAAGAGAATATGTATTTTCTTCCAAATTCAGACTGAAAAAAGGGGATTCTTATATTTGGGTAGTTCAGATATGAACATTGTGTTACTGTGTCAGCATGATCCGTAGCAACACTTTGATCTGATTTGTCCGACTTAGTGCAAAGAGAGTGACAAGCGTTTTATAGTGTCCTGTTGTCAGGGCAACATTCAAGTCTGGGAAATCGTTAAAAAATAACAGGCTTTCAAGAATAACTACAGTATAGCTATGTATTTGCCTACTACAAAATACTTGGTACTGTATTAATATAATTAATAATACTGTATTAATACGTTTTCATTTTAATTTTTCTTTGCAGAGTATTGGGAAAGGGTCATTGTGGTGCATAGACCCAGAGTATAGACAAAATCTAATTCAGGCTTTGAAAAAGACACCTTACCACCCGCCTCCCACCCCTCAGGCTTATCAAAGGTAAGTAAATTGGACTCTTAGATTTTTTTTTTTAAGTCTCCTGGAATTGTGTTATTCTACAAGAGTCAGGCTCTAAAACTAATTTAGTAGGCTGTATGAGATTTTTCAAAAATAACTGCAGATAAATGAGAAAAAAAAATGAAGTATGATTAGGAGGTATCCATTGATGTATTTTCTGGGAACCTTACCATTTCTGCTGCTCCAGGGGAGTGTATCTCCAGAAGTCTTCCTGGTAGGTAAAATAATGTCTTCCTAGGTGGAAACAGTTACAGAGGACAGTTGACAGCTTCCATATCTCTGTGTGTCACATTTTGTTGGGGTGAGAGTGGCAAGGCAAACAGGTGATTCCACCTTCCCATAGCCTGGCTATACAGATGTTGAGAGAAGGCTCACTGGCTTGTTGTCATCCCGTTTCCATGTAGACAGGCTCCTGAGTGATGGGTTTGTTGTGGTTACTAAGTGTTTGCCTGGAGAACAGTGGTCACTTTTCCTACTTACGTGTCTGTTTGTCAGGAGATTGAGGTCATGAGTGCATTTTTACAAATACATAATGGCGGGGAGTGGGGGTTGTTAAGTAGATTGTCACTGTTTGAAAAGCATGTTAGTGCGAGATCAGAAGAAAGGGCCATACAGAACGAAGAAGATTTCCAAGTGTGGAGTCTTACCTATTCATGAATGGTACTTGGGTTTGTCATCGGCCCTACCAAGAAAGTTTTTGAAAATTATTTTGTTGATTCATGTGTATGGGTGTTTTGTTCGCATTTATATCTGTGTAGCACTTGTATGCTTGGTGTTTGGAGGCTGGAAGAGGGCATCACATCCTCTGGGCCTGGCTTTACAGATGGTTTGAGTCACTGTGTCAGTGCTGGGAATTGAACCTGGGTTCTCTGGAAGAGCAGCCAAGCACTCTTCATCACAGATCCATCTTTCCAGTCCCCTATCAAGAAATTCTAAAAGACATGTAGCAACCTTTCTTTTGTAACTCTTCAGTTAAAAGAAATTGCCCCTGGAGTAGACATTTATGTGAATTGGGAATGGCCTGATGTCCAAAGGCTGGGGAATTTTACAGTCCACTTGCAGATTTTGCTGTTCTGATGTTTGTTCTACAGGAGGGCACACAAAGTGAGCCTCTGACGTGGCATTAATGAAGTTCTTGTGCATTCCATCACAGGCCCTAGACAATCCGTCTCCGGCAAGAGACGGGAGAAGCAGCTGGGCTCTATGAGAAGACTGCTGTATGTCTGCCTTTGCTAGGCGATTAGCGTGATGGTAGCCATAGCAACTGGAGTGTCTCCATAGTAACGCGTAGCCGAGACAGGTGCACTTGCATCACAAGGCTGTTTGTTGCCTGGCAAAAGGACAGGCCATTAGTACTTAGATATACGCTGTTGCCTTAGAAACAAATAGCCCTCTGTAGCAACTACAGTTGGTTCACAAGGGTATTTTTTAGGGGCTTTGTTGGGGGGGGGGCGGGGTGTGGACCAAGGTTGTAGCAGCTTTTGTCTGTGTTCATAAAAATCAGTGGAAGCATACTTTATTTGAAATGACAACTTGAGGTCATATAGCTGTAGGAGGAAAAAATGGGATTTTTCCAGAGCAGCCTAGCTTGCATTATAGAAATGTCCAGAAGGACAGAGCCATATGCTTGGCTTTCTGTGTGTGATTGTAACCACTCCTGAAATGGAAACTGGGATCGGAGTAGAGAATTGCTCCTCTATGGGGTTGGTGGGGAGCCTGGTACTAATTATTGAAATATTTTCCATATTCAGTTTCTAATCCCCGCTCCACTTGTTTCTCTAGTTTCTACCCTAGAAGTATGTCACACCCGTTTGCTCCTAGCAAGTTAAAAATGTGTTATTCACTGGGTCGTGTCAACGGTTCATTTAGGCCAGTGTCTTGTTGCCAAATGTGACCCCAAGGGAAGCACTGCAATTATTTAATAATTTGAAGGATTATAACAGAGCTCTGGGGGTTGCAAGTGGAATATACTCCGGCCAGAGGTGCCAGAGCTGGGCATAGCCTAATGGCTTCCCTTGAGTTTTAATATGGGTATAAAAATGCAGATGAACTAGAGTTTTTATAGTGAAAATAACTTCCCTTTCTCCCTGTTAACTGAGGGTGGAGGGCACAGTGGCTTTCTGTTAGTTACCCATGCAGGAGCTTAGATTTCAAGTCCATCAAGGTCGTTGGATGTGGAGTGAGGTGACAGGCGAGATTCCAGCCTGTCTCTTCCATGTTGTGACTCCAGAGAGCACCTTGCTCTCTGCAGGCCCTTGAAAGAGTTTGCTGGAGGGGCCTACGCCATGCCTGAGGGTTGGCAAGGACTTCCCACTTGTTGATGTGACTCTGGGAAGATGGAAGTGGAGCAGCCAGTCATAAACAGATTCCTCAATGCTGAATTAACCTGATCTGTCCAGGGTCCACCATGACTCAAGGGATCATTGTCAGCCCCGTGTGGAGTCACTGTGAAGGGCACCTGGGAAGTGTTGGCATGCTGGGAAGACAGTGATTATACAAGAAGGGCGGCCATTGCTATCACTTGCAGGTGTCCTTGGCAGCAGCAGTGGACTTCGCTGCAGGTGGCTGGAAGCTCTGTGAGGAAATCAAGGCATCTGAAAACCCTGCCCAAACCTTGTTCACATCCAAATGCAATGCTAAACATTGCATTGTGTCAACTTGCACCTGTTTTCCAAGATTCTGTTAGAATGTTCCTCCACACTCTCGTTCTTTTTTTATACTAAATACTGTTTTTACCTGAAATGCAGAGAGCTAGGTGACATTAGCCTTTGTATTAATTTACGTAGGCCATCATGTCAAAGGCCCACAGCTGAGTCAAATAGCATAAACGTATTGCCTCACAGTCCTATCTGCCAGGAGTCTAAGGTGTTAGCTGGGCTTGTTTCTTCTGGAACTGCTGGAGAAGATCTGCCCAGCCTATCCCCTGGTTCTGGTGGCGTTCTGACTAGCCGTGGTATTCCTTGGCTTGTAGGATCATTAATTACCCTGTCTTTTGTCTTACACTTCATATGACCTTCTCTAAATTCTTCCTTCTTAGGAGGACACTAAGCAGTTTTGAGTAAGAGCCCACCTTATTCCAGTGTGACTTTAGCTTCCCCAATGACACAAATTTGAAATACAGTCACATTCTGAGATACTAGGGCCTAGGTCTTCTACAAATTAGAATTTGTAGCATTCTGACGAAGCAGGAAGTTGGGTGTGTTGAAAATGCAAAGCAGTAGGGGTGTTTCAGGACACTGGTACCATCCTAAAATTGCTTCTGTGAACCAACTGGGACAATTGGAACAACAGACTAAGTGTTATTAATTACATTAGAAACAAAATATAAAACAAGTGTCTGTGAGCCTGGATTGATAGAAATAAATGAGCTAAATTTCCCATGGAGAAGAATCTTGTGTCACTGATTGGAACAGTTCTTCCTAAGGACTTCTTTCAAAGAGTGGACTATAGAGAGGGGTCCCAAAGGATGTTTATAGTGAGCAAGCTTGACAAATGATAGCTGTCAGTCAAAACTCCTCATCTGGGGCTGGAGAGGGTTCAATGGTTAAGAGCAGTGACTGATATTCCAGAGGACTCAGGTTCAATTCCCAGCATCCACATAGCATCTCCAAGGCCTCTGTGGGCACTGAACACAAACGTGGCACAGACATACGTGCAGGCAAAACCCCTTATATATAAAATAAAAATAAAGAGTTTTTAAGCTCCTCTTCTGTGGTGGAACGTAGCAGGCACACTTACTATGATGCCACGTTGTGTAGCCTGTCTCCTACCCCTGTGACAGCACCTCAGGTAAATAACTAAAGGATCAAAAGATGATTTTGTGTTTTTGGTTTTTGGGTTTTGGGTTTTGGTTTTTTGAGACAGGGTTTCTCTGTATTGTTTTTGAGCCTGTCCTGGAACTCGCTCTGTAGACCAGGCTGGCCTCGAGCTCACAGAGATGCGTCTGCCTTTGCCTTCTGAGTGCTGGGATTAAAGGTGTGCACCCCCAACACCCAGCTTCAAAAGATGATTTTGGCTCACAAATCTGTTGATAGTCTGTTACTTTAGTAAAGTGGTAGCCTGTACATACATTGTGGCAGGGTATTAGTGGGGGCTGCTTACCTCATGACAGTAGGGCAGCAGGAGTGGGGGGGGAGGGAAAAGAGGAAGGAATGGGCCTGGAGTTCTAAAATCCCCTTCAAGATCATGTCCCCTTCCCCCCCCCTTACCTAACTGAATTCTAGGAGGCTCCGTGTCCACTATCTCCCAGCCCACAGGCTAGTGACTAACCCTTCAGCATGTGGGTCTTTGGGGGTGGAGGGAAGTATTAGTTCCAAGCCAAATGGTGGTCTTCCTGCTGAAAGCCATAAGCTCTTTTTGCCACAGGGGAAACTCAACAGTCGGCTTTGTCCTCCACCAGGATTGTCTCCAGAACACGGAGTTGGCACTCCTCATAGCTGCTGAGGTCATCAGAAATAAGGGAATGTCTGAGAAACTTGTGCAGACTAGAGCAGGCTGGGGAGACATGGTGACTACGTAGGAAACATGACCCTGGAACAGAAAAGGGACATCAGACAGAAAAAAGTGAATACCAATTACCTGTGCAGAAAGTGATGTTGATTTCTTAGTTGTGACGAATGTGCCATAGGATGGTAACATAACGGGAAACTGAATGGGACACAGGGGAGCTCCCCACGCTGTTCTGACAGAACAAAAACATCTCCCCAAACGTAGACTAGTTGAGTTTGTTCATTATATTAATTTATACCCAAATCATTCTTGCTGTATGAAGGTAAACAGTCCCTGCCTGACCAAGCAGTTGTCTGAGGACTTCTCTGTCATTGTCACAGTACCATTGAAGAGCTGACCATCAGGGGAGCCACAAGAGGGGTGTCATGGTATTTAATGTTTGTTCTTGGCCCTTTCTCGTTGTGAAGTGGTGTTCAGCTGTGCTTTGTACAGTCCCGTGGCTGAGTTCAGGCCTGAGGCCAAAGCAGCTTGCA